TGATGCACAGAAATCTTTAATATTGATGAAATCCATGTATCTACTTTTTTCTTTTCTTACTTGTCATGTCTAAGACAAAGCCAAAATTTATCCTTATGATTTCTTCAAAGACTTTTGCCACTTTAGCTCTTACTTTCAGATTTCTAAACCATTTTCAACTAATTTTGTGAATTGTGTGAGGTGGCATTCCAACTTACTCCTTTATATGTGGTTATCCAGTTGTCCCAAGACCATTTGTGGAAAACTCTTGTAAAAACTCAACTGAACATAAATGAAAGAGCTTATTTCCATATTCTTAATTCTATCCCATTGGTCTATATCCTATCCTTATGCTAGTAATACACTGTCTCGATTACTGCTGGTTTGTAGTTAAGTTTTGAAACTGGGAAATACAAATCCTCCAACTTTATTCTTTTTCAAAATTGTTTTGGCTATTCTGGGTCCGTTGAATGCTCACATGGATTTTAGGTTCAGATTTTCCATTTTTACAAAGAAGACAGCTAGAATTTTTATAGAGATTGTTTTGAACCTATAGATCAGTTTGAGGAGTATTGCCATCTTAATATTATCTCTCAATCCATGAACATGGCATGTCCTTCCATTTACTTAGGTCGTCTGAACTTCTTTCAACAGTGTTCGATAGTTCTTAGAGTACAAGTTTAGTTAAACTTGCACTTCTTTAGTTAAATTTGTTTTTTTGTATTTTATTCTTTATGATGTTATTATAAATGGAATTGCTTTCTTAATTTCATTTTCATTTTGTTCATTGTTATTGCATAGAAATAAAATTGATTTATGTATTTTGATCTTGCATCCTGCAACTTTGCTGAGCTCATTTATTAATTCAGAGTTTTTCAGTAATTTCTTTATCATTTTTCTATGTATATGATCTGTCATCTGCAAAAGCACAGCATCTTTGCTCTGTCAAATCTACATGTATAGTCTCAAAAACTCAAGCCTTTGGGCTATAAATGCCCAGAAGCAAACAACCACATTCCTTAAGTCCATGGACAGACTCAGCTTGTGAAGTATAGTGAAGCCTGTCAATGATTCCTGAAGGCTTTTCAAGGGTGGAAGAGCCTCAAACTGCAGCCAAAAGGATACTAGTGTAAAGGAATAGAACTGTCAACCCTCACAGGGTGGCTCAGTTGGTCGCAGCCTCGTCCAGGTATGCCGAGGTTGTGGGTTTGATCCCCAGTCAGGGCACATACAAGAAACAACCAATGAATGCTTAAAATGGATGGAATGCCCTGCCCAGTGTGGCTCAGTTGGTTGGAGTTAATGTTTCCCTCCCTCTTTTTCTCCCTCCCTTCCCCTCTCTCTAAAATCAATAATCCTGTCCTCAGGCGAGGATTAAAGAAAAATGGGTGAAACAGCAAATCAATGTTTCTCCTTCTCTCTTTCTCTCAAATCAATAAATAAACACTTTTTAAAAGAATTAAACTGTCCAGGGTTTTAATAATACCTGTGCCACTAAAAGTTTAATAGGTTGTCACCTATGAGTTTTATTCCCTTCCCATAATGTCTCTGAAGGATGGTGAGAAACAGCAGATGGCAGTACAGAGCACTAGGACCTTGGGTTCAGAAAGAGCAGGCAGCCAGCGAAATCCAGAGTATGAGACATTCTGCTGAACGAATGAGTTGGCTTCTCCTTGAAATCAATAAAAAAAAAGAAAGAAAGAAAGAAAGAAAGAAACCGTATTTGGAGGGAGTGCAGGTAGGGAAGTGACTGTTGAAGAACACAGTAGACTTAATACCAATAAAATACAATGTGTAAAACTATCTGGATACTGATTTGAGTAACCTAACAGTAAAAAGATACCTTTAAAATTGCAGAAACTTTAAAATGGACTAAATATTTAATGGTATTAAGAAACAACTGTTAACTTGGTTAGGTGTGCTAATGCAAAAATAAATTCTTCACTCACAGATGTGTAACAAGTACTGTTGAGTGAAATATCTGGGATTTGTTTTAAAACACACACACACACACACACACACACACAGAGGGAGATGAAATAAGATTGGAAAATTGGAGGCAGAAAATAAACAAGACCTGGGTCTGAATCCTGGCTCAACCACTTACTACTAACTAGGTAAACGTGGGCAAACTACCTGACATCTGTAGCATGGCAATAATAAGGGTGCTGTGTAGGTAAAACATTTAACATGGTAGGGGCTGCATAGTAAAGCTCAATGAATGTTAGATAATATTGTTATTATGAAAGAAATAAAGATTATATAATGGCAGATTTGATTGTATGATCATTTACAAACTGTTTTGTGTCCAAGTATCAATCATGAATGTTTTTGTCAGAACACTGGAAACAATGTATATGTTGATTTATTGAGGTTTAATTAAATTATGTACATCTTTACAGTAGAATTTTATACATCCATAAAAATAATCATATTTCTAGGCCAGGATATATCAATTCTATTGCTTAGCATCATTTAGAGGTCATAACTAATGCAAACAGACAAGAAACAAAAAGTTACAGGTAAAAATCAGAAAGAAAGGGGTAATATTTACCTCTGGTGATGATACACTTATATATACAAAAATATCTGGCAGAATCCACTGAAAAATGCATAAACAAAGAGAATTCAAGGTAAGATAGCTGAATACAAAAACTATTCCAATAGAATAGCTTTCAATATGTCTGATTAGAAATTATATCAGAAAAGACCCCATTAAAACTGCGAAAATAATAAAAGACAAACTCCCAGAAAAAAAAAAGGGTAGCAAAAAATGAGTAAGGACACAAGGACCTTGTGTCCAAGGATCTCTAAGGACACAAATGCATACTTGAAAAAAATATGAAAGCAACTCTTACTCTTACATGGGAAGATCCAGTAGTATAAAGAGGTCAATTTCCCCTAATTTAAAAATATAAATTTAATGTGATCCAAATAAAAAATACTAGCAGGGTTTTTGATAACTTGACAAGCTGATTTCAAAGAGCACATGATAAAAATTAAAAGGAGAATATTGAGGAGAAAAATCTAGAAAAGAAGAGTAATAAGGGGAATACTAATCCTATTGGATATTGAAACACACTATAAACATGGGATTCCGGTCAAGTACAGATATACATATTCACCTACCAGAATAGAAAATCTAGAAATAAACCTAAATACATTAGGAATGGGGTAAATGTATTTCCCACATATACACACAAAAGGAAATTCTAAAGGATGTTCTTTAGGCAGAAGGGAAAAAATTCCAGATCGACATAACAGAACTGTGTAGATCTGATGTGTGGGGAGTCTGGTATCTCTCAAGTTGTCTTTGGTCCTTTCAAGCTCAAGAAAAGCTCCTTGCAGCTTGCTGAACATGCTCTCTCCTGCCTCCACATCTGAATGTGCTATGCTTTGGATCTGGAATGCCTTTTTCTAACTCCGCATCTGCCAAACTCATACTCAAGCTTCAGACGGGTTCAGGAGTCATTCTTCCGTGAAGTGTCTTTCTTTGAGAATAAATAGCACATATGTATGTATAGTGTCTTCTGCATGTTGACTTTCCTCCAGTGTCTTGTATCTTCATTTTGCTCTGCATGTGTTACTTGTTCTTTACACCACTGCCAGAGGAATATTACTAAAATGTAGATCTGATCGCGTCTCTCCTACTAAAAAATACCTGATGCCTACTCAATGCCTGTGTGTCTACAAAAAATACACTTCGGGAGGCATTCAAGGCCTCCCAGGCTTCCCCTCCAACCTACCTTTCTCACCTCAGCTCTATCAGGTATGTCTTTGCCCCCTAAACTTGAGACACTGCAGCTCACCATTCACACACACGGCTCTCTCGGTGCCTTGCTTCACCCAGGACTTTTGGCCTGATGTGCCCTCTCTCCTCCCACTCTACTCCCCATCCATCTTCTCAGCCCATTCAGATCTTTCAAAGCTCTGTTCTCAATGAAGTCTCATCTAAAATCCCATTAAGAATTAACGACTCGCCCTGGCTGGTGTGGCTCAGTGGGGTGGACATTGTCCTGGGAGGCAAAAGGTCACCTGTTTGATTCCTGGTCAGGGCATATACCTGGGTTGTGGGCCAGGTCCCTGGCTGGGGGCATGCAAGAGGCAGCTGATGGATATTTCTCTTGCACATCGATGTTTCTCTCCCTCTTTCTCCCTCCCTTCCCCTCTCTCAAAAAAAAAAAAAAAATCTTTTTTTAAAATAATGAAATCTTAAAACAAAAGAGAATGACTCATTTCTGAGTTTGCATAATTAGTATTTACTTCATTATGGTTGGTATTATTAGTTGTTTGTATGTCTAACACTAGTCTATAACATTCTTGAGGTTTGGGCAAAGTCTTACTAATTTATTTTGTCATTCCTTTAAATGCACTGCATATCACATGGTCATAAATATTTATATACAAAAATAAATAATTTTGCATACAGTAAAATTAAATAGTGCCTAACACACAGTTAACATTTAATTAAATATGAACTCTCTCTAGTGGTAGTAATAAGCATTTTGTGAAACATTAATACTGCTTGGAAACCATTATAATGAGTTTCACCCTGGCCTGTGTGGTTCAGTTGGTTGGAACACTGGCCCACACACCAAAGGGTCACAGGTTCGATCCCTAGTTGGGGAGCCTACAAGAGGCAACCAATCAATGTTTCTCTCTCACATCGATGTTTCTCTCTCTCTCTTCCCGTCCCTCTCTTTCTAAAAAAGCAATGAAAAAATGTCCTCAGGTGAGGATTTAAAAAAAAAATTTCAATGTCCTCTTTTGGTGAACGCGTAAGTTTAGGTTCTAGAACTTCAGAGGGCCTTAAGATATTTCTCAAGACTCAAGTTTATGTGCCACTTAATCTGGTCCCCTAAAATGGAATTAAATATTGGAATTTTCTTATATCCATTTAATCCCTTTAGTACAGTTCTTAGCAGAGTAAGCACTTAGAAGTTGACTGAAGGAATGAACAAATAAGTTGAGATGAATTGTTTATGCGATGTTCTCTCCACACAGACTCTGCACACAACAAGTTAATGGATACGTTTTATTCACCTTTTTGTCTCCAGCACTGAGCACAGTATCTGATACAAAATGAGTGGTTACAAAACAGCTATTTATTAAGTTATAGACAAAAGATAAATACTGGGTTCACTTTAAATATGCAAAGAAGGAAAAAGGAAACACATTTCCTGTATCGTGTTAACTTACACCAAAATCTGATGAATAGATTTATGAATCAAGGTGTAAAACATAGCTATTTCTACCTTGGGATATAAAAGAAGTGAACTTCTAGATCGACAAGTCAGATCACCTTAGCCCCCCAGGGCGGTCAAAGCCACCTGGGCCCTGTGAATGAGCATCTGGCCTGACGACCTCTGTCGTCTACCTGTCTGCACAGCAGCGGCCCCAGGACAACGCAGCCAGGGCAGGCTGTGCTAACATCTCTTAGTCTAAGGATGCACACCTGTTAGGGAAAGTCCTACTGTGGCCACAATGAAAAATAAAGGCCTTGGGTGGAGAGAAGGAAAGCAGTCTAGGAGTGTCCCCTGAAGCACAAACAAATGGGGAGACTGAACAGACAATCTCTGTAGCACTACATCTGCTTCAAGAAGGGCACACCAGCTCCCTTCCAGAGTACATCACTTCGCTGCACCGTCATGGAAGGAACGGGAGAGCAGGATGGGGTTGGCTGGCTGAAGTCACATCTTGGGGAAGCTGGCCAGGTTGGCAATGCCACAAGCGTTGTTCTTATTCCGAGCCATTAAGATGTAGCCTTTGTTTCCCCAGTCTTCTCCCCAGCTGTAGGATCAATCAAGAAAAATACTTAGTACCGTCGGTTATTTATCCACTAAAACACTATTGTGTTAGGAACTAATGGTATACAAAAATGAATAAGACAGTTTTTATCTTTAAAGAGTTTAAGGCCAAGAAATGGAGAGAATATATAATACTACAGGTCTCAAAGGCAGGAGAGATTGCTTCTGATCAAGAAGATCAAAAAAGACTTAATGGAAGAGGCAGCATTTCAGCTGAGCCCGAAGGCTGAACAGAAATGGGGCCTGTGGAAATGGGATGACAGTGGGGCAGGGGCATGAGTAACAGGGGGAGGAAAGCGTGGGGCGTGTGTTAAGACCTTGTGGCTGAAAAACAGGGTGCCAGAAAGGGTGTAATGAGAGGTGAGTCTGGAAAGGGAGATGGAGATCAGGTTGAGTTATTTTTACTGCCAAGCTAAAGACTTGGACTCTGTGGCCCACTGCAGTGGGGCAGGCACTGAAGGTTCCTGATGGGGAGAGTGATATCATCTGATCTGTGTTTTAGGAAGAATGATGTTGAAAACATGAGCCTAGAACAAAAGAAAGAGGCAAGAGAGGCTGAATTTGATTGGGTTTGGGAATAAAACCCATAAGAAAGATGAATGAAGCTATGATATGGATGAGGTTGCTAAGGAAACAAGTGGAGAGAATGGAAGACTCTCTCTCTCTCTCTCTCTCTCTCTCTCTCTCTCTCTCTCTCTATATATATATATATATATATATATATATATATATAATCTTTCTCTTTTTATATATATATTTATATAATTTGTATATATAAATATATATAAGTTATAGAATTTGTGTGTGTGTGTAGAGAGAGAGAGAGAGAAAGGGAGGGAGAGAGAGAAAGAGATGGGCTATATATCTTCCTAAATTGTTTTCATGAGTTTTCTGTCCTTTTCCTTCCCCAACCAGCAAATTCTCTAATCACTCAACACATGTTACTTAAGACCTGCACCCTACCCGTTCCCTTCTCCCAGGCTCCCGGTGCTCCTGACCCTGCCTGGTGTGTCCCTTATTCCTCCCGCCTCTCTTGAATGCACCCGATCAAGAAAGGACATAGTAAGTGAGCATTCGGGCTGGAAGGTGAGAAAGGGAAAACACAGGACAGAAGCTGTGGCAAAAGGAACACCCACGTAGGATGGTGCTCAGCTGGACTGTGATACAAAAAGTCGCCTCGGGTTGGAAGCGATCCCAGCCTCACATTCTATCCTGCCAGCCCTCCAGGCAGCAGCCCCAACACCCTGCCTTGGTGTGTGATCGCCGCAGAGTCGAAGACTCTTGCTCCTTAAGGTGCACCAAGGACAGAAAACTTAACCAGTGCTGTCGCCAGGTTAGTGTTGACCAATCAAGAAGGGAAAAGTGTAATTCTCTGACATCTGCCCCACCCACCCCCAGTCACAAGGGAGCCAAGCTACCCTGTAGTTTTATTTGTTCCGAATAATACGGAAGGAAACACTACATTTTGTTGTTGTTATGCATATCTACTTTCTGAAAAGCATTGCACTTCGCGGACTTCAAAATCTTTGGCCAGTTCTTGTACATGTCTATCCTAAGTGTACCTAGAAGGGCAAAAAGCTGCACAAAGGGGTATGAAACCTTCACATTGCTCCCTACTGCGCATAGAGAGACTGATGATGCAAACCCCCCTAAGAACTTGTTCACATTAGAGAAAAAAGGAAAGAAAAATATATGTAATTCCAAAGGTCCTGCTGGATTTGGGTGCTACTTTATGTTCTGGTTAGCTAGGTCTGTCTTCCTTAGGGGGCTGGGAAGTCACTGAAGGCAGACATCCTGTTCTTTTGAGACTAAGCACCTTGCACATGGGGCAGCTGTGTAACATACTTTGAGTACTAGCATCTGGCCATTAGATGTAGAATTAATAGCTTCTGATGAGGCCGTGGCTGGTGTGGCTCAGTGGACTGAGTGCCGGCCTGCAAATCAAAGGGTTGCTGGTTTCCCGATTCCCAGTCTAGAGCACATGCCTGGGTTGTGGGCCAGGTCCCCAGTAGGGGGTGCGTGAGAGGCAACCACACAGATATTTCTCTCTTTCTCTCTCCCCTCCCCTCTCTAAAAATAAGTAAATAAAATCTTTTTTTAAAAAGCTTCTGATTAGGAAGGTAGAACTGAAAAGTCTGAGACAACTTTACCTTGATTTGGGAGAGAGAAAGGCACACTGGGAAGCTGGAGCTGAGTCTGAGTGTTCACAGGGTGACTGACTGACAAACGCAGGGCTCCCGTCCTTACCTGTTTTTAATTATCCAGTGCTTTTTTCCTTTCTGGATCCCATATCCCACGGCCAGAACCGCGTGGTTCAGGTTGTCGCTATTGCAGTTTTCATCATAATACACACCTAGGAAACAATCCATCAAGGTGAAGCTTTCTGCAATCGAGGGGCTCCCTGGGGGGCTCCCACTCCAGGTGGCCCTCTGCAGAATCCTGTCCCAGTCAGCAGGGCTTACATCAGAGATGCTCTGTGCGGCGGCAACTGGTAGTTCCTCTCTGGCAGACTCAGTCGGGACATGGAAACTAAGTACTGAAATGCTCAGTGCCCTCTGAGAAGCTGCCAAGCCCACAGGAGGTGAGACGGCTGACATGCTCCGTAGGAGCAGCTCCTTACCTTTGCTGTAAAACTGAAAGGAGGTCAGGCTTGCGTCGATGGCCACAGAGATGGGTCCCACTCGGGCCACTGCCCTCTTCAGGGCTTTCTCGTTCCCCTCAGGGATCTCTTTGTAGCCTCTGCACTTAGCTGCCTTGCCTGTTGGGTTGTACATACAACTTTCATCCTGGGGAAAAAAAACAAGGTTGAAACAGGACTAGGACAAAGCAACAGGCAAAGAACTGGTGAGTGAGAAACTCCAGCCATGTCTCCCATGATGTCAGTGACCCAACAGGGGCAGTGACTAGTCTCTAGGGAGGGGCTGCTGTCCTCACCATTTTAGGCCCCTGCAAAAAAGAATGGGAAAAGCGACCACCTGGCACCACACACAAAAATCAGTTGCAGGTGGTTTTAAAACATAAGTGTAAAGGCAAACACTATAAAACTTTAAAAAGAGAGAAGGTAATAAAATTTTTATAACCTCGGTGTAGAGAAAGATTTCTGAAATAGGATATTTTTTTAAAGCACAAATCATCTTCTGGGCCTGTAGTGCGTGTGAGCCCGGGAGGGCGCCATCATTGTGAGTATTTAGATCACATGTTCTTGTAGCTGTAACTCCAGGTTTGGAAGGAGCCGTCTGTAGGATAATGAACTGCCAAAAAGAGCACACCGCCTTCACGTGGGTGGCCATTATATTCCCTAATTGTGGCATTTAACATGATATTCTAAGATTACATGATATCCTGTCTTAATAATTTCTCAAGATTTTTTTGTTCTCTGTCATATCTAAACCCTTGATGCTTCCTGGTGCCCAAAATTGCACAGACCTGCAAGTAAAATAAAATAAAATAAAATATCGTGGGAATTTGAAGGGATGTCATGAGAAGACACCATGAAGTCGGAGTGACCGACATTACGGCCAGAATGAACGTGCCCCGCGGTGCTGCCTGCAGGCTGTCCTGCCAGATCTCTCCCTTTCCATTCCTTCACATGGTCATGTGAAAAAAAATTCTTTCAGTTTTGGGTGATAACTGCTTTTAAAAACTTTAAATTAGATACAAGAGAACAGCTGCTCAAAATTCACAATGTTAAAAACGGAACATATGTCTTACATGGCTAGTTCTCATTTTAACTGATTATGAAACCAAAATCTTCCACATTCCTCTAAAATGCTGAAGAGTTCATTGGGGGGCAGGCGGATGGCAGAAGAACAGCTGTTAGAAATCAAATGCTGCTGGCGGGAGAGGACCTACAGCGCAAGGCTAAGGAAGGGCAGGAGATGAGTCGTCCAGGGCGTCCTGGGTTAGGGTGGGGAGGGGGCAACTCCAGCCGCTGCGATTCGCGCTGGACCTGCCTGGCTGGCCGGGTGTCCCAGCGGATCTGAGAGTTAAGGCCTGTTTACACACGCGGTAACGCGTGCCTTGCGCAAGAAAAAGGCCCTCCGCCACGGGGTCCCCATGTTGTTATTGATTGTTGGAGGTTCTTTTGGTCTTCGTGAGTTTTCACAAATCTGTTATGATGCTGTGAAGATTAAAATTGATCCTGAATTAGAAAAACTGAGAATGAATAAAGTGTCACTGGAATCAGAGTATGAGAAAAGAAAGGATTCCACGTTCGATGACTGGAAGAATGTTTGAGGACCCAGGCCATGGGAAGATCCTGGCGTCCTCCAGGGACCAAATCCAGAAACCCTGAAGACGAAGACCACTTGACTATGCTGGTTCTTTTTATTCTTTATTTTTTAATTTAAATAAAATGTTATCAACTGAATTCTCACTATATCCTCCTGTCCGGTGGAGAGAAAATTTCAGACCTGAAGAAAGCCTGGATGTGAGTAATTTGATAACAGATAATCTTGACTAAAAAATCAAGTACAGGTGTTTTGCTTCCCAACTCTGCCATTTGCAAATTGAAGTAACAGTGTCAACCACATATATTTTATAGACTCAATAAAAATGTGAGCACTAAAAAAAAAAAGAAGTCAAATGCTCCTTCTAGTCTGAAATAGAGTTTCAAATATTACATAATTTTCATTTAAATTATTTAGAGTCTCTGAGTTATTAGTTCAACTATCTCTCAACAAAGTGGTTAATGTAGAAACGAATAAATGATGCAAGCTGCTCATGGATGAGTGATCAACTACTAGTTGATAGTATTTATTTTTCTTTAATATAGTTCAATTACCTAAGCTTTTAAATTGGCTTCCTGGATTAATCAATATGGAAAATTATGAACATAAACTTGTCTTTTATGTATACTGTTGGGGTTTAATTTTTTATATTGAGTGACAACAAAAAGTTGTCAACAGGGTATTTGGCAATTTAAAAATAATATTTTGCCAAATTAAGGTTATCTCACTAATTAGCCAGATGTATTCAGAATTAAAAAGCTAATCTGTTAGGCAGCTCTAGTATGCTGCACATTACAGCAGCAGCCCCAGAGTTCCGCCATGGACTTGGGACCCAGCAGTTCTAACAATTGTGTACAGATTAAAGAATGTTTGTTTTTCCAAACACAGCCTCCACTTTCTCTACCTTGTACACCTGGCAGCTAAAAGCCCATAACGTGGAATAATAAAACTCATAACAAGGAATGGCATTTATAAAATAAAGTGCTGTTCTGATGTGGCCAGGGTCATGAGGATGTGTTGAAATGCCTTAATGCGTAGTTTGGTGTGTATCCAGCGAAATGAATTTGTTCGGTCATTCACATTAGTGAGCATTTCATTGCAGGAGACATCATTTCAGACGACTAAGACTGAATGACTAAAACTCATGCTTTTGGATTTTTTCAAGGAAAAAACTGCAAAGGGAAAAATTAATAATTTTACTACACGAAAATTAAGAGCTTTTCTAGATCGAAAGAGAGCATAAAGAGAGTGAAAAGATAAACATCATCAACCTAATTAAAATGAGCAAATGACATAAACAGTCAATTCGCTGAAGAAGAAAGGCAGAGAGCCACGGAAACACACTGATGGAGATGTGAGCCTTCCGGTCAGGATGGTGGCATATGGAAACACTGCTCACTGCCACAGCAAAATTACAGCAAAATTACCCAACAGCCACCCTTGAGGACCATCTGAAGACTAGATGAGCAGAACTCCTGTTACTAAGGATATAAAGAAGTCACATCAAGACCAAATGTCAACTGTCATTGAGAAATATTTGTTTTAAAGATGTGAATCAATGGGATTTTTATATATTGAATGTGGGAATATAATTTTTTCCAAATACTTTGATAAAATATTTGATATTACCTATCTAGTAAAGTTGAAGACACACATAACCTAATGCTTAGTCAATTCTGTCCCAGCTCTTATATTCGAGTAACGAAATGCTGGCATGTGTGCACAGAAGACACGCCTGGCAATGTTTGCAGCAGGTAAACGGACCTGGTGGGTAAATGTTGGCTCTGCCACATAACCAGTGGTATGAACTTGAATTTGCTGTTCTACCTCAAGTGTCAATTTCCTCACTTATCAAGAGAGAGTATATCTACCTCACAGGGCTGTTAAAGACAATTAAATCAGAAAATGCACTCAGCACATGGCTTAGCATGTAACAGCCATTGTTTTCATTACTAAAAGTTGCTATCCTTTCTTCAAAGGCTGCTGTTGCAAAGACCCCTATTATATTATCTATCAACCCCATGTATGTAAGTAGCCCTTAGATCTACTTCATTTCAGTGAGAAAGAGCTCCTCCCTACTGCCAAATGATCTTTTAGGAGGAAGTGAATTGACCTCTAAAATTACAACAAATGTGAAGCAACTTGTTTTTTCTCCCATTTTACACAGGTTAGCATGTTAATGTACAACTTGCTTAAACGTTCCCCAAACCCACACTGAGATCATACAAAATAAAGACACATGATTCATGAAATCAGATTTGTGATGGGAGTGGGGGACTTGCACCGAGGGTTATAGATACCTCCTCGGAGATCTATGGAATAACCTGTCTGCTGTTTTTTTCTCCAGGGCAGAGAGGCAGGCAAGATCTATGGTAGCCTGAACTCCCAAAATCCTCCCAGATTCTGGGAGTCTTCCTGGCCTCCTGTGGACCATTATCCCATCATAACAGAAAACAAAATTCTGGGAATTGTTTCTAGCAGAAAATACCACACTGGGGCGGGAGGGGCCCTCACAGGGCTGTATGACGGTGCAGGCCAGTCTCACCTGTCCCACGTATGGGTAGGCATCCTCGGAGTCAATGCCCCGGTTCTTCTGCACGTAGTGGAAGGCATTGGTCATGTAGCCCCCTCCGCAGCCATCATTCTCAGACACACAGTCCACCAGGTTCTGGGGACTCAGATTTAAGAGTTTACCCGTTTTCTTCTTCAGCTGGCCCTCCAGGGCACCCACGGAGCTAAAAGCCCAACAGGAACCACACTGACCCTGGAAGGCACAACAGAGAAACTATCAGTCCTTGCTGTTCAAACTTTCTGTCTCCTCCAGCCCAATGACATTCCACAGGTTTTAGAAATTCCAGCGCACACGTTCCCCTTGCTGTGAAGTCTTCCTATTTCCCTTCACTTAACATTTGGTGCATTGTTCTATTGCTGTTGATGCTATTGATAACTTTCATTACTATTGTTCCGTTAGCTGTAGTATAATAGCAGAGCAGAGTACGCTTTGTAACCCCTTAGATATGTGACCTTGGGTAAGTTACTGAACCTCTCTGTGCCTCAGTTTCCTTATCTGTAAAATGTTAATAATAAAAAGTGCTAGATATTATTAGTGTTTGAGATATAGTGTTCTTTTCTATTTTTTAAGATGAAGAATTTCTTGGGGACACAGGTTATGTCTTAGTCATCTTGAATCTCTACTGCCTAACACATGCCTGATAGGTCCTGAAAAAAATGTTTGTTGAATGAATGTCAAATCAATTGTTCATCTGGTTGATACAATCAACATTGTTAAGGTTGTGGGAAAACTGGCATTCTCATGCTGATAAGAATGTAAGACAGTAAAACTTTTTTGGAAAGGATCTAGCAATTCTAATTTTAGGATTTACTTTGCATATGCATTTGTACATGGGTATAAAAATATATGTACAAGGGTGCTTACAGCAACACTATTTGTAAAAAGAGAAAACTCAGAAACAACCTAAATGCACAAACACAGGAGATGAGCTAAATGGTTGAATAGGCTGTTAGCACGGGGAGAAGTAACCTTAATTCCTTGTTCCCTCTTTCTAGTGCCCTCCTACCTTAAGAACAAAGAAACAGCCAAGGGAAGAGGCTGTGCCGTCTCACACCCATTCCCAGGACGCAGGAGGGTACCTGATTTTTGACGGGAGTAACTAATCCCTTCTTTCGATAATCAATGGAGTCCGGGACTTTGCCTTCCCAGTCGGGGACATAGTGGGTGTCATTACTGCGGGAATGAGAGGGGGGCACTTTGAGTCCAGTCATCTTCTGAACCACCTCGTCACTGGTCTGGGACAAAGGAGAAAGAGGTCAGGCGCAAGCAGGGAACTAAGGCAAACAGGGCAGGTAAGCCAGAAGCTGAGGCTAAACTCACCATGTCCCCCAAGTGGTTCATGGCCAGTTCATACGTATGGACTCCAAGAGAGGCCTCAAGATTATGGATGGAAATATGCTTCAGGTTTTTTTCCCAAATTAAACGCCGAGAGATTTCATCCACCTAAACAGAGCATGTTCAGTACTGGCACAGACCGTCCCCTGTGTGCAGTTCCATGTACAATATTGGGGGGGTTTTAGGAGAAAAGATAAAAGTTACAATAATGGAGAGTATACAATCTAGTAGGGGGAGTGACCAGGGAGTTATTAAGCATGCAGAAAGAAATAAACAAATTCAAAAATAGAATGCAGAGATCTGGAGAGATGTACAGGAGAGTTGCTTACGGATTGATAGCATTAATCTGAGAAGTCTTCCCAAAAGAAAAATGTAAGACATGCATAAAGAAAAGTAAGGAAAGGACTTGAGGAAGGGTGTCTTAAGGAGTAGGAATGAAAACTGGAAGCTAACAGTTAGGGAACGAGAGCAGGTATGCTAGGCTGGAGGGGTTCAAGTGTCTGGATAGACGGGAGTCTGGAAGCTAGGACTGGAGATCCCGGTTTCAGCCCTCCCACCATGCTCCGCTCCAGGTCCCCAGGCACCTTGCTGTTATACTGCTTCCTGTAGGTCTTCTTCCATTGCTCCCACTGAGTGTCCAGTATCTCCTCAGGGTACAGAGCAAAGCTCACCGGCAGCAACAGCAGAAACTTGAGCCCCCACATCCTGGGGAAGGGGATAATTATGGGAGAATCTCCTATTTGCCAAGAAAGTTTTAGCCTGGCTGAGGATGAGGAAATACCTGGAACCATAATCCCAAAGAGGTGGTTCTTAACCTATGGGAGTCATAGACTCCTTTGAGAAGCTAATAAAATTTGCAACCCACTATATAATCCCTCTCACCAGAAAAATGCACGCACACATAATTCTAGGGAGTTCGTGAACCTGAAGTTAAGAACACTTTCCTCTGGACTATGAGGCAAAAACAAACAAAAATTTTTTTAAAAATCCCATGAACAAAACCACCTAGGCTTTATGAAGAAGGTAGACAAAGACCTGAGGGTGATTTCCATATGATAAACCAAATGGTGACCTTCAGGAGGGGTCTGGGTTTCTATGGGGTGCAGATACATCTGGTTGCAAGTACTTTGACCTAGGGAGGTTCAAACCCCCCCCCCCACACACACACACACGAAATCATTTGCACTGACAACCAGAAACAGGGTAGAAAATGGGCGGTCATCATGGGCTCAGCACCTCTCCCCTCCAATGTCTCCAGCAGACACGGAAGAGATGGACAAGGTCGGTAGGTTAAGTGCAAGGTGGATGATGGTGGATGGAGAACACACAAAGGAGACATTCCCAACTAAGTTTTGCTTCCGGATCACTTGTTCATAGCATTCTTCTTTTCTATGTCTAAATTCTGTTATTTTTCCAGCCCTCACCAGGAGAGGACAAGGAAAAAGTTGACAGTATGTCTCTTCTTCTCTATGAGAGAATATTTTACTGTCTCTGCAGTTTTCTTATGTACTTTTCTTCCTCTCTCTTCTTGCTCCCTCCTCAGGCAGGAAACTGTCCTAATCTCAAACAGCTGCTGTGGGCAGGAAAGTTTTCGTCTTTTATTGACAACAAAAACCTCTGTGACTGCCTCACAGGACAAAACCCCTCAGAACCAGTTAAAAAAAAAAAAAGTGAGACAGAGAAGCAATGTTCTATGATCATCAAATACACAGCTTTTCAGAAGTTCGCTCTAACTTTACTCCTTGCAGTGGCTTACGTGGCCTCCATTTTAAGAACAATTTAGTCTGTAGCAAGTCATACAGCTTGCGTAGTTTTTCAATTTACAGTCCATTTTTGAGTAATCTTTGTAAACTGCCAAATATACAGCAGGACATTTAATGTCTGAAGTGTTAAGGGTTTTGAGATGCCTCAGAGTAGGAAGCACCAAGCTACGAACACCCTGCACAACTCCTCCCCCCAGCTGTAACTTAACCCTTTTGGTGCCTTTGACCAAAACAGAAAAACCCCACACTTTAAGGTGAGGGATGGGTAAAGGATCCCCATAATTCTTTGCTTCACTAACAGCCACATATATGTACAAATCACAGAAGGAATCCTAAAAGATGTCCAGGCAGATTTGGCCAGGAAACTGCCTAAGAAGGGCATCAGTGTTTCCGTGCAAACAGCCTACAAAGTTCATTTTGATTCCCACGTTATTCCATCCCTAATACTCCTAAAATGTAGAACTGGCAGAAATAAAAAGCTAAAAGACCTAGGAAAACGTTACCTGCTGCTGGGGATCTGCTCTCTGGGCTCCGTTCTGCAGGGGAGTGTGGATAATGCCAGAGACTAGGAGTGCTGGATTTATTCCATCAGAATTGCGGAAGTCAGCCCCAGCTGCTGGCTGGAAAATTTGGACAGGGAAGGGAGGCGGAGATAGAAATGCTGAGAAGGGGGATTAGGGAGGAGGGAAGGAGGCGGTGAATTTGTAGGTTCTGTGTGCACACGGGACAGTGTGAGCCAGGGTGATTTGTCTTCCAGGGAAGACAAAAATAGACCTCAATACACATTATTCAAGTTGGGGCTTGGTGGCTAGAGGACACAGTCCTGGTCTCTCCCATTCTTATTACATATTATACTGGGGGATTATATTTTTTCCTGTTACCCATCTCCCCAACTTTGAAACTTGCTTTTGAATTTGACACTCACATCAGAGATGAAGGAACACAAAAGGCTAGAAGACCGTATGCAAATAAGGGAAATCACAGACCCCGAAATCATTTGTATTTTATAAGCTTGTTGGCTAACCGTTGTCATTTCTTCCACACACAGGCGCAGCTAGCTCTTCCAGCCTAAATTTGCTAAGGATATGCCCAGAAAATCCAGATGAAACCGGTTTTAAAAGGAACCAAAAACCATATTTTCGGTAATTTATGGCAGCACATGAATCAATGCCATGTGACTCACACGTGACTTCTTTTTTGCTAAAACTCTGATGGTAAGATGCCTGATGCACATTATCCATCTCAATTACTGAAATCCCCACCTCAGGTCCAGTCATGAGCTCCTCCATATACTTCCCCCAATACCCAGGCATGTGACAGATGAGTCTAGTTCAGTCCCAAGGTCACATTCCCAAACTCCATACTCTTCCATACACAGATGTGGAGGAAGAGGAAAAGAGGGTCCTTGGAACTGAAAGGACAATACACAGGATCTAGATTGTTTCTGGCTGGATTACATACAATAGACTCTCAGGAACACAGATTTATTATACCTATGTGTTTTAAGATTTGCTAGTGAACCTAGAGGGAAGCCAGGTCCAAAGCTGAATAATTTAAATTTCCCCATCCCTAATTCCTTTCCATCCAGAAGAGAATATGCTGTGGGAACAGATCCAGATGTGCCTGACTGGTCTTAAGTCCTAATTCTCCCCTCTCCTGAGGACTTGGGCAATCCCAACCCCCACGCCATGGTCGGATGTCCCTGCTGATTTCACTCAGAATGAGTCAGTATCAGGAGGACAACCAAAGAATGCTGAGTGATCAGAGCCTTATGATTTCCCACATGTGAAATTAGACACGCCGTGCTTAATGTCTGTGTATCTGGAGCTAAAGCTATGGGTTCAACTACTTGAGTGTTTGTTGTTTAAGAGCTGCGAAGGAATAATAAAGCCGCAATTAAGATGACACAACACAGAGTTTACAAAAGGAAAAATATTTTGTTTTAAAATACTTGCTACATGTCATTATTTTTGCCACTGTAAGGCTCAGCAGAGACGCCAGCAGTACAGAAATGGCCAACAAGGAAAAAAAACAATCAAAAAATAAAACCCTGAAGGAAAAGCAAAAACAAAACCCCCAGAGCATCTTTTCCCTCCCCTCCCCAAAGCCCTCATAACTATACAATATTATAGTCCTGATCACATTTAAAAACAGGCGATTATTAAAAAACAAGGATTTCATTGGAAACTCAACTTTTTGGTTTCTTACATTGTAATATAAATATATATATGTATACTGTATGTGTGCACATAGAATAAAAAAATAAACTGTTTCCTTTTCCACGCTACTACCTGGCACCAGACTGGAGACAAAAGGGAGGGAAACCCCATAATGACATTCTCTCAGCCTCTCCAAGGCCATCTATGCTCTTCAGTCCCCTATGGCTACATTTAAAATGTCTTCTCCTTATTAATTAATTACTCTTGCACTTAAGATACTGGCCTAAGCCAATTTAAAAAAAAAAGCTGATGCATATGACTGTTACCTGAGGAAGGTAGAGAGTGATAGCAGTAACCTGTATCCACACTTATATGGCTATAGTTAATTACGAAGTGACCCTGTCAGCATGGGAGTCCAGGCCCCATCTATTGCATGGATTTATTACACTTGCACTATACAGAACATCCAATCTCAAGACTGCAGAGGGAGCAAAGAGAAAATAACTGTAGGCCCAGGAGAGACTTAAATCTGTTTCTTGCTAGACTGGATATTTTGAATTGGATGAAAGAGGCTACTTTGCAAGAAGGCTTGGTATTTGGCTTAAACTCTGCAAGTGGGGGCTTTCACTGGACTGCTAATCCAAGAAGTTGAGTTTCCGTGCAGAAATAACCTCCACAGATCACACACATGTAATTCTGACAGAAAAATGCAGCATTGTCTTTATGGCCAAGTGTGGGGTTTCTGAAAGTGTTCATCCTGCCAGCCTATTTCTGTAATGTCTGCAGATCTTCCCTATCAGGTGAGAGCACCAAAAGCAGGGATGACCCAGCTTTACCCCAAAAAATGTCTGATGAGACACCAACCGTATCAACAGACTTTATACACTTGCTTACAGTCGCATATTGGCTGGGCACAGATATAAGTGCAGCAAAGACATTTATTTAAATACTCTTTGGCTGCAGTACTAAGTGGAAAATACCTGGAAGATTTAACTCCTTAGGATTCTTTGAATAACACAGAAAGACAAAGATAATATCTGGGACAAATTTTGCATAACTCCCTAATAGGGAGAAAGATACAAACCCAGAAACACATGTGTGCGCACACACACACTCTCACACACACACTCTTCTCTTACTTCCACACCCACATTTCTTTCCAGGGGAACTGCTCACAGGCAGCAAAAGAACATATTCTCACTTCTTAAAGCCCCATATATACCTACCATGTTCATGATCCTCAAATATGAGGACATTTCTCCTCTCCCGCATCTTATTTGGAATTTCTTTCCAAAAACAAGCCATAGTACAAGGCAAACAGTGGACATCAGGTTCTCTAACCTGCCTCTTGACCCTAGCACACAACATCTATATCTGGTCAGGAGGCGTAAGGAAAGGTATTTTTAACCTCATCCAGCCTGTTTTTAAAAGGGTCCCCAAAGTCTTGAGGATTCGTTCCATTGCATCTATAAATTACGTCAGAGAGGCAGGAGGGCAAGGGAAAGGCCAGAAGTGAAAGGGGGTACACATTAGGGGTGAGGGAAAGGAAGGGAGAGGAACTTTTATTCTGTTTACAAAAAGATTTGTTTTTTAAAAACAAATGGTAACTTTTCTCCCCCACCCCTTTGTCCTCACCCCAATAGTTCTATTCTGAAAAGGAGGGAAACATAGTTAGATCAGGAAATTCTTCATTGTTGTAGCTGTTGTTCTGGTCTCCCAGCATGGATAGCATCTCCTGATAAGAGAAAAAAAGTCTGGGTCACACACCTTGACCCCTTACATTTATCAAGCTCCCTTCCCAACATTCTACTGAACTATCACCCCTGGACCCACAGAGTTTCTGCTGTGCTGTCCTTGGTCTCAGCAGCTCTGACTCATTTAGATGACAACCTTTTTCCCAGTCCATTCTCTAGCTTCCCCCTACAGTTCCACATTTCCCTCTTTTCTAGTCCTCAGTATTTGCATATAGCCCCCTCTAGTTACACAGTGGAGTATCTCTTATCCTCTTCATTTTCTACCAAAATCTGTTTTGTCTTCCTGTGTAGCTCTTCCTTTGTCTTGCCTAAGATGACTCCACTCAGTCCCACAATCCCCCTGGAACTTCTGTAAATAGACTTTAGAGTTGTACTCCCAAGCTTCTGTGAAGTGGGGATGTGGTTCTCCTTGGGTAGGCTAAGACTGCCTTCTTTGACATCTTGCACGGTGCTGCACACTAACTGTGGTCTAGTTAAAGGCTGTGCATCACACTGAGCTCACAATCTTTCCAATTAGTGACATTCATCCCTACATGTTCCACTATCTCTTCTCCCATGCCCCCAATCATTCCCTAATCTATGCACGCTTCCTTCTCTGTCTCTCCTCCCTAACCCTTTCTCTCCCAGTTTCCGAGTTTCCGATGTCTTCTCACCCTCTCACCTGGAAGACCTCAGGCTGGCCAGCTTGCTGTGCTGATGGCTGTTGAACATGTTGTTCATTAGAACTTGAACGATGATGAGGCTGCTGGCCCTGCCACTGTGGCCAGACTCCCACACCCTCTGCTGTCCGTGTCTGGAATTGTCCTGCAGTCTGTCCAGTCTCAGGAGCTACAGAGGAAGAATAGAAAAACCTAGCACATAACTACATGTAAGCCATTAATTTTACCTAGAAACCTTCTGCCCTTCTCTCTGCCAATTAATGCCTCTTCAATTTCAAAACCCAACCCAAATTAATGTTTCTTCTCTAGGAAACTGTTCCAAAGTCCTATGCTCACTTTAGATTAAACTGCATATTATTAAATTCATAATACATTACATGCTTTCTGTCATATGTGTGAAAGTCTTTTTATGCGGGTAGGTTTTAAATACCAAAACCCTTGCACATCCCCGTAATTAGCTTAATATACAGCAAACCATTTGAACTACTGTGATTTTCCTCTTAACCGTCTTCTGGTCTGAACTCACCAAAGTTGGATCCACGAGTGGTGAGAGTAGGATAAGCAGCAGCACCAGGTGATGCAGTGGAAGCCCCAGGGAGGGACAGAGGGCTAAAGGATGCCGGCGTCTGAAAGCTGCCCACACCAAACTGGGAAGAACGAGTCTTGGCTGTAGCCTGGGTGGCCACCTGCTGAGAGAGAGAAAGGAGTGGAGAACAACAAATGGAACATTTAAATTATTGCACATTCTATTCCTATGAGAGTCAACCTTCTTTGTCAGTCACTGGAATCTTCTGAACCCAGCTCAGCACTTACTTCCTACTGTATATTTCTTCCAATTAATTCCCAATATTCCTAATATTCCTAATATTATATTTAGGCAGTTGCGAAAAACTGCAAAAAGTAAAGAACCATGGAATTAATAAAAGTATACAAGGATTAAAGTTGAGAGTTGCAAGGATTAAATGAAAATGATTTAAATAAAAACATTTTATAACTTGTAGTGAAGTTATATAGTAACAGAGGCATTAATAACCATATAGTATCATATATTTAAAGAAAAAC